ATTATTCCTTGCAATATATATATATAAGAATTTATAAGTCAGCAAAATTTATTTTTATAACGAATCTATTATTTAAAAAAACATTAACAGTTAGACATAAGAATTCGACAATTATTTTGTAGGGTTTATATCCATCACATGAAAAACAAAATATTAAGGAATTACAATCGGAGGTTCGTTTTCTTGGAGTTTAGTAATCTTTAAACTTTTTTTTAATTATATTTAAATAAATAATCGTTAATATAAATTTAAATGTATAGAAATTAATTAAATTATATTTAAAACTAATCTAATTGTACATACTTTAATATATAACTAATACAGATAATAACATTGTAACACTATGTTTTTAGTTAACTTAATTAAATAAGTTGTTTTCAAAATAAATTACCTTATTGTTGTAAAATTTATTCTTAAAGTTTATTGATAATTCACCTCGATTTAAATTATTATATGAGTTTATAATTAAAAAAAAATGTGTATAATCAGTTTCATTTTATAAATTTAATATCTTTAATTATAGTTTATCAGTTAAACCATATCGTAATTTAAAGATTAATTAGTTTGTTTGATCACACAGTTTAAATTTGATTTGAAGAAAGACACTTTTTTAATATTATTATTATTGCTACTGTACAATTTGAGATAAATTCTTATACTTTATAATCTTTTACTTTCATTTCATTTTAGTAACTAATTTTTTTTTTAATTTTAAAAACATAAATTTATTTTAATTCAATTACAATATAAATTTTAACAATTATATTTTTACAGATTTCACATTAACAATTTGATAAAATGGATGAAATAATTGAATATAATCGTGTTATAATATCAAAAATAGGAAGACAAGACGTTTGGTATATCAATAAACATTCAATATAATTAGTAAAAAATATTTATGTATCAAATCTTTTCGTTACTTTCTTATTAAATATAAAATAATACTAATCCTAATTTTAATTTATATAAAATTACAGAATGCGATTATAATAAATTTTGAAGCATTTCGAATGAAAGAGCATGAAATTATTTACCGACAGTTGGCCATGAAAGCATTACACAGTCTTATAGATGCTGTAATAAACATTTATGTAGATTCTGTTAAAATGTATCAATTATAAGCGAAAGATAAATGGCAAGTCAATTTTACTAGCAAAAAAATTCATGGATTAAATTTTATAGATTTAAAACTTCGGATATAACATGTTGGATTGAACATAATAATTTACAAAAGTTATTAAATCATTACACAATGTATAACGAATTATTTTTATTTGAAGGTGGATAGATAGAAAAAGCAATCTTTTTAAAAACTGGAGCTACAGTTATTTAGACACCGAACTTCTTTGATGTCAAAGATCAGATAGTATTTAAAAAATTGTTATTGCCACAAATATTATAAATAGCATTGTTCTCTTTGCGCTATTTAATAAATAAGTAAAAAATTTATAATTGAAATGTTTATTATATTCAACTATTTCTCTATATTTTACTTAGTCTTATTGTTAAAATATTATTTTGTCATGTTTTAATTTACTTGGATATGAGAACAAATTGCGAAAATTATTATTGAAAGTTCATTTTATAATAATTAAAAAGAATACATGAAACTTTGCCTTATTGTTAAAATAAAATAAAGGTTTGTGATCGAAAAATTAATTTTGTAATCTAAAATAATTCCATTTAACAAATTTTTATTTGCAATTTTAATTTAATCGACATCTGAAATTAGTTTTTTGATCAAAGCTCCCCACACCACTACTACTTGTATTCAGTTGTAGAGTTTCTTATAGTTTCATGCAAGAGTTGTTCTCAGCGGATACCACGTATATTAATTTTTATTCTAGATAATAAATATTAAGAATTAAAGGAATGACATTTAAATGCATTTAAGAGGTTGTAATTAAAATTTAACCAAAGTATATAAATACTAACAAGTAGGCAAGGCATTGCTCGGGAAATGTAAGGATAGAGGTGATTAACATTATTACGTTATAGTCAACCTTACCCGTTTTCATAAAATGCGAGAATTAGGTCCCCCTGTTTTTGAACTGATTAGAGAATTTTTAGATAGATCTAAAAATATGTTCGATTTCCCGCAAAAACGAATAAACTGCATCTGCGTCTCGCACGTCGCTTTCTCTCTCTTAACAATTCCATTGTTACGTAACACTTCCATTGTGGCATATCCTTTGTTACTTAAACTTCCATAGTTACTTAACACTTCAATTGTTGATGGAAGTGTTAAGACTTAATCCTGTCTCTCTCCCCTCCCGAGGGAAATTCTGAAAAATCACTTCTTACTGTGCGTTTTCGTACGCACCATAACCGTCTGGGCTCTGCGCTTATTATTATTCTTATTATCATCAACCCTTCTCGATTATACATACAGATGATGTAGTTGAATGTGTTCGTATAACGTGTTCCTATAATGATGAAGTTAATTAAATTATCGATTTTGTTTGCCACGAACGTCCAGAAACAAGCATAAAGTAAATAGTACAAATGAAGTTTTATTGATTTTATCAAGTAAGTAAATTAAAATTTAATTTCGTTGATAAACAAAGTTGATTTTATTGCGACATTAACGTGCATTTTGAAAACAAGAGCTAAATTAATTTTCAGTCGGAGTTTCACATTTGTCTTCGTAAAGCACAATCCAGTGTACAGTACTAAGACGATTTTAAGAAGTCTGTCGTAATTAAGCTTGAGATATACACAAGTTTACGAAAACGAAAATGTTTTCGGTAAGTAATGTTCGTACTATTTCAGATTCAAATTTACACGAAGGATTTCAAGATACTTGGAATCCACTGCTGATCTCTATGAAGCTTTGCGGTTTAAACTATACAGCAACACGGATTACGTTATTTGAAGTGTTTACAATTGTTATTGGCATCTTGTATAAAATTTATTTCACTTTAGTATACGTTTGTGTTCTAACTGAGTATAATAAAACAGATACAATTATAACATTCGCATTCTCAGAATTTTTCATAGCAATTAGTATTGCATCCTCAATTCATTTTAATGCTAAGAAGAACAAAATTCGCAAACTTATCAACCAGCTTCATATACATTTAAATTTAAAACGTAGAATTAATCATAAATATTTGAAGATTAAAGTTATTATTATTTGGATTTGCTTTCTTGTTTACACCATTGCGTCAACTATATCCACATCTCCACAAGAATTGAAATTTAAAACACTTGGATTTAAATTCAAACGAATTGTAGAAATCATTGTACTGTTTATCGATAGCGCAATGTACTATAGATTTTGGGTAATGCCCATTGTTTGGTTATTTTTATTATTTATAGAAATCTGTGAAGAATTGGAAAATTCTTTAGCAGCTTTATTAAATTATTCGAAAGAAG